TCTACTCATATGCATGTGCTCACTAGTTCTACCTTCACTTTGTCAAGTTCATGCCTTTGATAAAGTTCCGATTCACACTTGGCTGTTTTTCTACTTATGTGCATGTGTTCTCACAAGTTCTACCTTCACTTTGTCAAGTTCATGCATTTGGTAGTGTTCTGATTCACACTTGGCAGTTACTACTGGGGGATGGGTGACCGACATTTGGCTGCTACTGCTGTGGGATGGGTGACCGACACTTGGTTGCTACAGCTGTGGGATAGGTGACCGACGCTTGGCTGCTACTAGTAAAGGGTGAATTGATTAGGACTAGGAACTCTTTCTCTCTCTCTCTGCATCTCCCTCCTCCCTCGATCGATCCTTCTCTTTCTCCCCCCCCTTCCCCCTCGCTCTCCTTCTCTCCTCCTTTCTTCCTCTCTCTCTCTCTCTCTCTCTCTCTCTCTCTCTCTTTCTCTCCCCCTCTCTTTCTCTCTCTCTCCTTCTCTCTCTCTTCCTCTTTCTTTTCTCGCTCTTCGCCCTACCCTCTCCCCTTTCCACCACTTGGCATATAACTAACCTTCCCCGCTCACTTGTTACATTGCCAGGGGAACGAACGGGGAAAAAAACTTGTCCCCGCTTGGCGGAGAAAGTGGGCAAAGGGGGGGCTGTCGGTCCCTTGCGCCGCCAAGAAGGAAGGAAAAAAGACACTTGAGGGATTGAGAGGAGCCGAGTTCGGAAGAGGGCTAGAGGAAGTTGGTGCTTGAAGCAAGGTCAGATTGACTCAACCATCACCCCGACTGCATGACTAAGGGAAGATTTTGGCTTGGATTGCGAAAATGAAAGGGAAAGCACCAAGGGCCAAGAAAAATGAACTTAGGCTTGTGGGAGGGATTATGTGTTGACCCCGTGTGGGGGATGCTTTGTGTAAATTGTGTTGAATGTGCAGGTAAGTAGCTTAAAGAGACTTTGAGCGGGAAAAGGACCTGGGAATGTCGGGCGACAAAGAGAATGAGGGGTTGAGGACAAACGGGTTGTGGACTCAACCTTCGCCCTTGGATAATGGCTTGAGCATGCTTTTGTAATGCAAGGTTGGCTATAACAAACGACAAAGACTTGAGGCGGCCGAGAGGGCCGCCTAGACTAAGACTAAATCAAAAATATATATATATATATATATATATATATATATATATATATATATATATATATATATATATATATATAATAGGCATGTATGCGGGAGGGCCCCCGAAAAGACTAAGGGGCGCCTTCCAATAGGTCTTGGTGACCCGAGATAGTGAATACATGCGTGGCCCAAGGATGACGCTTGGTCTATGCATAAAAGAAGACGAACTCTCAAAGAACCCCTGGACTGCCTGCGTATTGGAAAAAGCATTTGCTTGAGAACACAACCAAGAATCAGAAAATGGTTTGCGCTTGACGAAAAGATTGGCGAGTCTACCATCCGGCGAGAGGGCGGAGCTGTCAAAGCTCTCTCGCAAAATGGCCCATCCCCATCCATCGCAAGCACTAGGTGGGGGTGCCCCTGTGACGAACTCTCCGCGCCCTGAGCATGAGATCGGGCGGAGCAGAGCCAACTGGGACCTGCAGCGAGTCGACTCAGGCTCGAAAGTCTACTGGGGTTTGGCCCTACAACGGGTTCAACTCTTGGGGTCGACACAGGTAGTGTACACAGGTAAGGTGAGGACTAAGGATGAGCCATGGGATCTGCATCCGCTACTGTGAACAGGTATATACTAGATGACCTGTTGCGGCTTCGCTCACAAAAACAACTAATGGTGGAGGCAACCGACCAATGCAAACTCTCTCTCTCTCTCTCTCTCTCTCTCTCTCTCTCTCTCTCTCTCTCACACACACACACACACACACACACACAAACCCCCCCCCCCCAAAAAAAAAAAAACACAAACAAACAACGGAAAAACAAGAACAGGAAACAAAGAAAATGATTACCCTGAGCAGCGCACCATTTACCCCCCCCACCCACTCCTCCATTCCAACCCCGTCCACCTCTCTTTACACTCCCCCATTCCAACCCCCTCGACTTCTCCTTACCCTTCCCCCTCCCCCCTCCCTCACCCACATATCTACAAACACA